AGCAATAGGACACACGTTCTGGTCTGTTTTTATTAGCTTCATCAGCTGAGCCGATACCCAAATGCGCCAGCAAACGCTCTGTTTAAGGCCCGACCCAGCTCTGCCTTTCGGTGCCGGCCGAGGCCACTGCCTCGCTGCCCCGGCTGGCGCTCCCCTGCGCCCCTCTCGGCTGCGCGGCCTGCGATCGGCGGCGGCGGCGGCGGCAGGCAGCGGCAGCGTGAAGCCACCTAAGCTGGGGATTTTCCAGCAGAGGACCGCGTTTGTGGAGGCTGGTTTTTTAAAGGTTACTGAGCGGCTGTGGGTTGGACTAATCCGACAGTTTGTGCACTGGCGCTCGTTTGCCTTTTGCTGCTGAATCGTTGCAAGGAGATCTCTTGGGACATTCCAGCAGCTGGAAACCGCTCATCCTTGAGGGCTGTGTGCGCGCGCGTGTGTTTTCGAGTCAGTGTTAACTCCTGGCGACTGCAGGGACCTGAGTAGAGCCACAACCCCATCCTTTCCTTTCCACAAAGAGAGGGGTCCTGGAGGCGCTTTTTTGCCAGATTCCCTCCCCTCCTAATCAGGGGCACCTGTGGAGGGTGGCTGCAACTGCACGGCTGGCTGCCGTCTTTGACCTCCCTCCACGGATGCCTCTGTGCCTACCCCTCAACTGGGGGAGCCCGTCGTTTTTGCTCTGGGGGCTGTTCTTGGCATTGGCCGGGGCAACCTTCCAGAAACAGAGAGGGGCCCAGGCAGGGCAGAATCTAAGTGCAATTCAAGTTTATCTCAGTTACAATCGGGTCAAATTCACCTGATTGCTCCTAACGTGCTTAGCAGTCCTTCTCTTCTGTCACACTTACTCTCCAAAGTCCTCTGGGGCCATCTGGGTCGCAGGAGGCCTGGGGTCCCTGGGGTCCCTCCCTCTTCTAGATGCCCCCTTGAGATTTCTCCTCATCAGGAGCAGATGACGGTGGATTTACTTTCTGTAGAAGTTGGACAGCGTTAGATTAGGGATTAGATCCGTGGTTTGCTCCTGCTCTGGAGGGCACATCCCATTAGCTGGTGTTCTTCTGGATGAGGCCAGGAATAAAGAGCAGATTGTCTTGTTACTGGAATTACAATGATTTGTCTAGAAAAGATTCCATAAGATCTATCCCATTAAGCAAAATAACTTCTTGTAAAGGCACTAATATCCCACTTCACAAGGTCTATGGCCAGATCCTGGTTCAAGCAAAGTGTTTTCCCACTCCCTTCCCATGCACATGGTTTGCAGAGATTAATGTTTGTTAAACAAGTCTCAACTCCTGCTATGAAAGGGAGGCTTTGTAATTTTTGTGGCATTATTCATCATCTGACCAGCCTTGTAGTTCAACTTTACATGACTGCAGGGTTTTGTGAGGCACGATTCTTGCCCTTGATCAATGGAATCCAGGAACTCTATATTTTCTCCGGGCACCCTCTGCCAGGCCACAGTGCCACCCCCTTGGCCTAGAGCCTGGACAAAGCAAATAATCGAATCATCACATTGTTTCATGGCTTCCAAGGTGCCCCCCAGATAGGATTGCACAACTGGGTAAGTCAAGGCTGTTCTCTTCAGGCTCTGCGATGCTGCCAACTCAGTGGCACTTTGTTACACGCAACCAGCCTACCACGTGGGCTGTACCTTGCTTCAAATGCATTCTAAGGGATTTCCCTTCCAGAGAACTCTGCCCCAGTCTCTCTGCCAGGCAAACCTGCCGGCCTCTGTCTCCTGAAAATGCCCAGTTGCCACTCCCTGCCCCAAGCATCTTCTCAGCTGTAGCTCTGTATCTTGGCCCGAAAGTCTAAGTCAAATGGGTTCTTTGATTGGCACAACACCGGAAGCCCCAGGAATTAACCCAGAGAGAAATGGGGCCCATGGCATAGTCACTCCGGCTTGCCTGTTTTTTGTGGGGAGGGGCACTGTGGTTTATGGAATCTTTCGTATTCTCAGCAAATAAACTCGTTGTCTTTTAATTTTTCAGTCAATGTGGAAGACGAAACGAAGCACCGTCAAGGGTTACTTCCTAGCTGGGGGCGAAATGGTCTGGTGGCCGGTACGTTAGCTCCAATTTCAGCATGCATAAAATACTTTGGTTCCAGAGAGATGTGGATAGGGGACGTATATAGAGCCTTTCTGTACCTTCCAGTCAGTCTTGACTGCAGGTCACTCCTGAACTAGTCCTGCAGTTTTCTGGGCAACATTTCCAGAAGTGATTGCCATCATCGCCTTCTTCTTCTTAGGGCCTACAGAGAAAGTGACAGGCTCAAGAAACCAGCTGGCTTCATGCCTGAGGCAGGACCTGAACTCAGGACGAGGCCAGGTTCTAGCCTGCTGCCTTGAACTGCTCTTGACACAAAGTACAGACACGTTGTTTTGTTCTCTGTTTTCTCCGCTTCGAAAGGTGCGAACTTGCTTGGGCTCCAGCCCCAAGGAACCTCCTTCCACAGGATGGTTCACACAAATCTAAGCCGGAAGGAGCTGGAGAAGCATCTCATGGCTGCTCTTGCTGATAGGGTCTAATGTTGCCAAACCCCATGTTGTCTGAACCTGTACAAACCAGGAACAGCTGCGAGAGCATCAGCTTCTCCTACAGCAGTGTTGTCCAAACTTGGCCACTTTAAGATGAGTGGACTTCAACTCCCAGAATTCCCCAGCCAGCATAAGTGAAGTCCACTCATCTTAAAGTGGCCAAGTTTGGACAACACTGTCCTACAGTGTCAAGAGAAGCATCCCAAAGGAGAAATGAGGTCCAGCCTCAGGCAGGCGATCTGGAAACCCTTCCAGCAAACTCCATGCAATGATTCTCTGGCAGGAGAGGCTTTGCACTCACGGCGGGTTTAGAAAGCACCCCGAGATACCCACCGAGCTGACTCCTGGCTTCTTTTCACAGGTGGGGGCTTCCCTGTTTGCCAGTAATGTCGGCAGTGGGCATTTCATTGGCTTGGCTGGTTCTGGTGCAGCATCTGGAATTGCTGCCACGGCCTACGAATGGAATGTGAGTATCCCTTTTATGGTACCTTTTATGCTGGCTGGCACGGAGCAGGGGGCAAGGTCTTCCTCTAATCTCCAGGCACATCTCTCTATCTCACTGGCCTAAGTCTGCTGTTGCTGATTAAGGGTTAAGAGACCTTCCCACAGGAGATGGCTGAAGAGTCTCTTAGTCTGCAGTCCTGCTCCTTCCTTCTTCCCGGCTCTGGTATCTCGCTGGACGCCTCTTGGCTTGGGTGAGCTGTTGTGCACACGGGGTATAAAAATGTCCCAAGTAAATGGAACATTTAAACTTTGCCCCCTTTTCCATTTGTGAGATATGCTCACGCTGTGAATTCAGTATTTCCAGAAGGCTGAATCGGGAGCCCTGATGAATCAGGGCACGGGGTTCAAGCGGTCTTGTTGAACCTGGAAGCTTTGCAGGTGGGAAGTCAGAGAAGACAATTTGAGGTGGGGGGAGGGAGGTTGGATAGCCACGCAGCTTTAGTTTGGAGCAGAGAAGGTTTTCCCTTCCCCCCACCTGCCTACCCCAAAGGAAAGGGAACTGCAAATCCCTGCAAGGATTATTACAGAGACGGCGCTTGGAGCTTATGGGAGGATTCTCCGTAAATGTCAAGATCTCTGCAGAAGCCGCGTCCTGTGAACCCTTTCTCTTGCATTAAAGCCCACTTTACTTTGCTCACTCAGGCAAAGAGGTTAGAAGGCAGCTGGATGGGTGCTAGAGCGGGACCTTCTCCAGGCTGCTCTGGCCCGGGAGCGCAAACTCTCCAAGCTGACAGGCAGCCAGGTTGGGCGCATCCCTCTCTGTAAATGGCGGGAACCCTTTCTGTAGTCCTTGAGATGTGCTGGCGGACGATCCGAACAGAGAACCACACCCAGATCGGGCTTTGGTGACGCCAGGCTGCCCCCTCCCTCCCTCCCTCCCTCTCGGCGTCTGCTTTGTTTCAGAGCAATGGGTATTAAATAGCAGCAGCGCCAGGGAGGGGGGAAAGGGGGCCCTGCTGGTGGGCCAGCTGCCTTGCATTCCCCCCGTGGTACCATTCTCCGGTTTGTTTCCGGGTCCCAGCACAGGATTACAGCTGTGGAGTCCTTACAACGTTTTTACAACAGATGACAACTGCCCAGCCCCACAGGGCTGGGGTGCAGAAGGTGTGAGTGTCGGGTCTTCCTCAGAGGCTCGGTCACCACCTAGAGAGCCTGGACCGGGCAGGACAGTCTGCAGCAGGGCCCTGGTTTGGTGGGTCAGCTGCGCCACTGCTCAGCTTCTGATGCTCCGTTAAATGAGTCTTTTCCCCTTTTCAAATGCTTCTGCAATGCTGCAGATGGATTGGCGGTGGTGCCGGAAGGATACAGCCAGACTCGCCCAGTGTAACCTGAATGTGCTCCTGTAAACCCTTCAGGTTAATCCCGCCACCAGATTGTGCTCCGAGGTGCCTCTGTCGATCAGCAGGTTTTCTGGGGTTTCCTTCTTCCTAACGGCCTGTGGTCTCTCTTAGGGCATGTTTTGTGTCTTGGTGCTGGCGTGGCTGTTCCTTCCGATCTACATCGCAGCCGGGGTGAGTCAATCAGCTTCCAGGAGGCCCTCTCTGCTCTCACCGAAGCTTCGTGGATAGTCGAGCCTTCGTGTCCTTCCTTCCTTCTGCTTTTGCCTCCGGTTTGAGAAGGATCATGTGCAAACTGACAACGTGGAAGAGCCTCTGGGATTTTACTCCCCGTTCACAGTAGTTAGAAAGGTCTTTCTTCCTTTCTTAAAACCCACGCAGCCCCCTCGCCCTGCTGCATGGACGGCTCGCTACCCTTTCCTGAGCACACGTCTGCATGCCTCCCCCTATCTCTCAGCCCCTAATATCCCACCTCGAGATGCTGCGTGCAGGCAGCGTAGGGCAGGCGGCGTGGGCCTGACACGCCGTGGTCCAGGCGGGAAGTCTGCTTCCGCTGTTGCCGTCACTCGCCTCTCAATTCTGTGGCCTGCGTGGCAGGGACCTCCCTGCCCGGGGGCTCCAGGTTGCCTCCTGGCTTCCTCTCCCCCTGCTACGTCCTCAGGGCGGTCCAGCTGGCCCAGGGCTAAACCCCGGCGGGTCGGGGCAGCGATGCACTGGCTGCGTCTTGGCTGCACGGATCCAGGCAGCCGCTAGAGGACGGCCAAGAGATATCCAAGTCCGCCACTTGGCTGTCACCTAGGGGTCATTCGGTCAAGCAGTCCGGCTTGTATAGTTTGTATAGTTTGACTCCCAGGTTGAGAAATGCAGGCCCAGAGGAAAGGGGGATCCTTGCTGCTGCCGCCTTTGCTCGGCCTTTTCCCACCTGGACTGTAAACCCTTTGGTCTGGGGACGATGGGACATCTAGTGAATCATATTTCACCAGGTTGGGAAGACGGAGATAAATGCTGGAGGGGGCTAAATGTTAGTGTGCAAGGGGAGAAATATTATTTCCTACAGGGAGCAAATGATCTTGGGCAAAAAGGGATGTAAAACAGAGACAGGGTCCTCTCTCCTTCAGCTATTTAGTCCCTTACCTGAATTCAACTGAGAATTGCTGACGATGCACCCCAGTTAGGGGTGCATTTGGCCATCTCATAATTTCACAAGGGAGTGCAAGCAGTCTTGTTCCTTATATGAAAACCCTTGATTGAGGAATTCGTAGGAGGGCTATATTTTCTGCAAGCCACTTTGCAGCTGGTGGGGGGGATGGGAGGGAGCGGTGGTTGGCATATTCAAGGGCAGAGGGAAACTGCTTGGCGTGTGCCCAAAACATTTTTTTTAGCCTCCCCTTCTCTTTTCCAGGGCTCCAGGAGGCCTCAGAGGCTCTGATAGGCCCTGGTATTCAATTAAGGCTATTCTTTATTTATTTATTTCAATCAATTTATCTGGCCACCCACTTGCCAGAGTGACTCTGGGCAGCTAACGAGACAACGGCCAACCCAAATAGGAGCTAACGGGGGCTTCTGTTCCTGGGAGGGTCGCGGATTCGAGCGGTGGAGGGTGACGGCTGTGAACTAATTCATATCACAGACTGTTTTACATAAATCCGAACACTCCCCAACAGATCAAAGCTTCTGTTTTGTGAAGACTTTTCACCCTTTTCGTCCCTTCCAGGTTACAACCATGCCAGAGTATTTGCAGAGACGGTTTGGTGGCAAAAGGATACAGATCTTCCTTGCAATTCTCTACTTGTTTATCTATATATTCACCAAAATTTCAGTAAGTAAGAAGACGAGAGGAGACAGAACAGAATTGGCTTGGAAAGAGTAGGTCAACATAGGCTTAATAAGTGTCTTTTGATGTTTCTCGTGTATTATGACAGCTGTCGAGCGACAAACCAATGGATACAGGAGGGAACTAGGGAAGTGCTATGTTTGGGATCCAAAGCCTAAAGAGTGCTCAGAGCCCAGGTGGGCAGGGAAGCCGCATCTGTTGGGCGCTCCCTTTGGAAGGCACACGTCTTCCTCGGCTCACTCCGTGGCCGCGCTATCCTAGGGAAGGCCTGTGGGAGCTAAGAAGCACCCACTGGTGGCAACAAGGCGCTCCGGAGGGAGCGGGGGTGCCCTGTGGGCATCTCCTGAACTCAAGCGTGAATCTCCCTGGGACCCCACGCCCAGCCCTGCTCGAGAGCCCTTTCGGCCTTGGGTGCGAAATGCAGCGCATCCCCAGAGGGAACTATTCTGAATACGGCGCTTAGCTTGCCTACAACTCTGGAGGCTGCTGGGTTATCTTGCCCCCAGGCAAGATCAATTTATAGGCAAAGATTTTGGCGGCCTGCCTTGTGGCTTTGACGTTATGCATACTGTGCCCAGATCAGCGGTTCTCACCCTTTTTGAATCCAACAGCACGACATTGAAGATAGTAGTTCTGTGGCACACCAGGAAATTATTAGTTGTATATACCTGTTTTCAAATGTGAAAGACATGGTTCAAGAGGAAGTTATACAATTTTTATTTATTGATATACTTAGGATTTAGGAAATAAGACAAAAATCTCGTGGCACACTGGAAGCAAGCCCCTGGCACACCCTTCAGATTTTTTATATCTGGAAATGCACCGTGGCTGCAAGTCTTCCAATGTCATGTCCCTGATCAGGGTACGAAAGGAATCTAGGATTTGGATCATGGATCCATTCCTGAAAGTTTGCAGAGAGGGCAGATTCTCTCATAACATTTCCACCAAGAGCTGTTTTCTGAAAGACTTCTAAAAATCATCCTGCAGACATTGCACTGGAGAAACCCTAAGAATACTAATATTTCATCTAAGATTTTGTTTATAGTTCACATCCATTATTTTTGTTAGCTTGTGTGGCATCATACAACCATTACTCAAGAAAAAAATGTTGATGAGTAAACATCTTTGTTGCTTAAAAACGTTGGAGTTAAAGCTTTAATATTTGGCTGCATGTCCAGCTTTGTAGGCCTGAGTCCAGAATCTCCCTCCTTATCTAATTTGTTTGTTGCTGGTTTTCCAGTGCTGTTTGTTTTGCTCCTATTTGCAAATTTATTCTCCAGATAGAGATCTAAAGGAAGTGCCCACACCAATGGACAAGCAGGCACAGAAGATGACCTGCCACTCTAGTTTAGCCATTTACTCTTCTGTTTGACTACTCACATTTAATGAGTAACTGGCTAACCTTTTGCTCCAGTCATTTATTAACAACCGATGGCACTCAGTCCCACAAGAGAAAGATGCTACTTCAGCTGGGTTAGCTATGAATCCCAGCATTTGGTTCTACCCAAAAGGTTACAACTTTCGTACCACCAAGTCCAGGTTTTATACCCTGACAGTTAAGGGGATGCAGAAGTTTCAAACTGGGCTTCAGAGAAAACACCTACAAACCCGTTGGAAGAGGAGAGCTATGTTACTCTAAGGTGGCAAAAGATTTTTAGCCACAAAACCAGGGTTGCTACATTCACCCAAAACCTGTGCCAAAGTTTTGAGCTGCTTTTGACCAGTTCTGTTTGACCAAGCCTGGTATTGTTCACCTCCCCCTCCAAAAGTGGGTAGCCGACGTGTCCTTAAATAGTGTTCTATTCTGCTGTTTTGCTCCACTATGACTCCATTTTGTAGTCACACAGTTAAGGGTTTAAGACATTTCTAATCAGGTTCAAAGGAAACATCTAAAAAACATCCAGCGTTGCTCTCTTCGTCCAAATGATGGCAACCTTTTGTGCCAGTTTTGCACCATTCAATCACACCTACTCACATTCTTGGTTCCAGTTTGGAAATAAGACACTGAGTAAGTGGAAGTTTTTTCTTGTAATTTATTGTTTGGAACTCATGTACTAAGGAATCTCAACAAACGTTCTTTACTTTCTGTGCAAATCTATGTTGTGATGTAAAAAAAAAGGCGCAAATGCTTAAGCCACTTCTAAATGTATCAGTATAGAAATATGTTTTAGCTTTGCTAACAACGGCAATCAATTCATTCAGAGTTGGTAATAGCGTAACACAAAGTGTTTAATCTCTTCAAATGTTACGTCTATTTATAATCTGGTACAGCCACAGGGAAGCAGAAAGAGAGAAGGAGAAAATCCCAACCAATAGTTCAGATGTTGACCATCCAATTAATAATTATTGTGCTTGAAACAAAGGTCAGACACAGTATCCTTATAGGCAACAATTGAGAAGGGTCATTATTTAGGCCTTGGCACGGCTAATTCTTCCTAATCTAGTTCTTAAGGCAGGACCAGATGCGGCAATCTTCCCTTATCTAGTTTAGAAGTGACGAGAAGAGAAGGATGGAGACAAGATCCTTAAGTGTTCTTGTTGTTAACGCTGCAGTATGAAGGCTGGAAGATAATACTCGTATGTGACCAGCCCAGTCTGAAGATCAAATGTGCGATCCCTTGCATCTAATCACAACACAATCATTCTAGGGCAACCTTGAAGCTTCATGATATTGCCTTCACCTGAGCTCCAGCCTTCAGATAAGTCATCCTTAAGTCGTCCTTAGCTGTGGAGTCCTTGGGGTTCTCTGAGCTTGGTTCTTTCCTTGCAAACGTTTCATTGCCCGGCTAGGTGACATCTTCAGTGCTAGAATGGAGTGGGGTTTGCTCTCTGTTTATGTGCTGTGTCCTGCCTTGCCAGTGCTGGTGGGGGTGGGGGTTCTGTTTTGCTCCTCTGGTAGTTCTGCTACCACATTGGCTGCTGCTTGATTGTGTGCCTGGTGGTGACCTTTGCTTATCTGGGTGATGATTGCGGGAGATTGATTGCTGGTGAGGCGATCTTCTGATCTTTTGTCTCTTTTGCATAGT